ATAATGGAAGTTTCTGAACAAGAGTCAATAATGAGAACAGGGACATTACCACTATTCTACTGTAATGGAGCTGCTTGGTTAGTCCACTGTGTAATTTCCCAAGGTTTCTCAGAACTTAAAGCCTTAAGGAAAACTCCCAAAGCTAAATGGAATATAGTGCAAGAAGGTGCTATGCAGTCTACTGCAAGATAAGAATAATCAACTCACCCAGCTGTGAACCCTGTGAACTACGGTGATTGGCCTGGCAAGATATGCCCACTGGTGCAATAGTGGCACAAATGTTTGGAGGTAACCACCACTTTCTGATTGGATTTAAGGCCTATACCTGGAGGTATAGGGCCAAGAATCATGGCTGGACAGGTCACAGGTCATAGGGGAGAGCCTACTACTATTATTCTGCTAAATGGACATAGTATTAAACGGACTCCTAATGACTTATTGTTATGCTCATAGATTAGTCTATCTTTCACTTCTTGCATCCAGATGGCAAATAACAAAGAGACACACAAGTAGTCAATGTGCAGATAGTAAGAGACTGCATAGTGGTCAGCCCTAAGTGGAACACCTACATCACACCCTTTCCTCTCCAGGCTCAGGGATCATTGTGGAGGATGGAGCAGAAAGACTGTAAGAGCCAGAGGTGGTGGATGGATACAGAGAAGCTGTTTTCCAAATATAACAGGGCAATTGCACATATGACCTCACAGTGCTTATGACAGCATGCAAACCCAAGTGAAACGCAACAAGGATGATAGAGGTGGGCAAGAAGCCCCAGTTCTAGCTAAAGAACTATTGGCAATTGGTAGCTGCTGGGAGAGGGAGAGGCAGTTTTCTTGAAAGGTATGACATGAGGTAGGTTGATCAGGCTCCAGGGGAAGGACCCACACCCAAGAGCATTTGAGGAACATAAATTAGACTTTTAAAAATATCAGAGGGCATGAAATTGGAAGAGACAGCAGGATAGTGGTGGATATGGGGGAGGGGGTCTGAATATGATCATGAAATTTTCAAAGAATTGTTCTTTTTTTTTTTTTAATATAGAAGTTAAATGGGAAGAGAACTTGTAAGGGTCCCTAGCTCCTCTAAGAGTCCAAAGCAATTCAACAGGAAAATCATAACACACTACAGAAAGAAGTGCTGTTTTCAGAGGACCATCTTTCCAAAGGACTGCAGACTTAACTTTTTTTCCCATCCAGTTGTATCTTGGTCACAACTGGGGAATATTTATACTTTATTCTGATACTGAAGTGAAAAGATCTGCATTTCTATTTAATAACTTTTAGAAACGAGGTAGTCTTGGAATTGGTCCACACTGGACAACATTCAAAGCCAGTATTGACAGCATAGCAGTCCGCTGCTTACTGCTGGCTGTGCTTTCCTTTCAGTTAAGTTCTTTCCTCCCACAGTGAGTTTTATTACCCTAAATGGGTTCAGTTCTATAGGACTATTTTCTTACAGGATAAAAAGAATGGAAAACAAGCGTAGGCCTGTCAAAGCAAAGAGCCAGTATTATCTAGAACTAACAGATGTCCTTGGGGAACACTGTAGAGCTTAACGTGTGCAGCCTGTCTGAGGTTTTGTAATTTAGGCACACAAATAGTAGCTACTAGACTTTACTCATGGACACACTATAGGGCACAGTTTTGTCTTTGGAACACAGGAAGATTACAGCCTTCATTCTTTCAGTATGTGTTTGGTAAGTTAGGCAGCACCAAACATTCATAGGAAATGCTTTTGAGAACTTAATAGGAGGCTAATAAAATCTGGTCCAGTAACAGAGACAAGCAAATAAGCAATTTCCATAGAAAGTTGACTTGTTCTCTGCTGAGTCAGGCTAGTGATGCTAGAGAGCACAGGCAAGGCTGAATAAACCAGACTGGATGGTTGGGACTGTTTTCCAAAGACGCTGACTTCCAAGTGGTCAGTATCAGAGTTTAGTCATCTCTGCCTCCGGCTTCAGATCCCAGCACTCTGGTGACAAAGCTCCCACCCACGCCCTGCTTTTATGGCTTAGTGCTTGTGGTCTATGAGGGGGAAGAGGGAGGGGGGAGAGAGAGGGAGGGAGAGAGAGACACAGAGAGAGAGACAGAGAGACAAAGAGAGAGAGAGAGAGAGAGAGAGAGAGGAGGATAAAGGAGGGAATTGAGGGAGAAGAGGAGAGGGAAAAGTTAAAATCTCCACCATGAACACATTCCCAAAGCTGATACAGATATCAGGGGTATGGAGGGTGCTAGCTCCCCTGAGTCTGAGCAATCTATGTCTTCACCTCATGTGTAAAGTCTATCCTGTGGCCATCCTCTCTTTACCAAGTAATAGGAAGGACATGGGAACTTGGTCTTCAATCAGACAAGCCTTGCTGAGCCAAGTCAGTCAGAAGTGCTGTCCTCCACCACCAAACAAACACTTGCTCAAAACCTGTCAACTCCGAGGTGACTTCCCCACACACAGAACACCAGGTGTGGTCTTCCTGACCTAGTGGGATACCTCTGTGATGCTGCTCCTGCCTGCCAAATCCCAAATCTGCAGCTGCCTCCCTAGCAATCCCATTCCTCACCCTGGGACTCTGCCACAGACATGAAAAGAAAGGGCAAGTTATTACCTTAGATTGTTTTCCAGAGTCTCCTCATCTGAAGAGAAGGTCCCATTGACGGCATTCAGAGGAGAATTCTTCCTTCCTGCTGACTCCTCCCTGGACAATGACGCACCTTTCTTTCTCCTTTTGCCAAACAACTTCTTAAAAGGCTGGAATTTGCTTCCCTTCTTCTTGTCTGTGGATTACAAGATAAACACACAGCTGTAGTTTGATAGGGCTGTGCCTCTGAGTCTAGGAGCAAATTACAACTTAGTTGCCTATGGCCAAGAGAGCCAGGGCAAAGGGCAGCCATAGGCCAAGCCTGCTGCCAGGAATGTCAGGCCGCCCAGGCGCCGCTGTGCACAGTGGGGCAGAGCACAAGCCACAAGCATGGCGTACCTTCTGACCCTCAGGATCACTGGAGAACAAGAAGAGGTTCCCAGGTGCATGGCTGTCACAGCACCCCTCACACGTGCCACATGAGGGTGGTGCCTGCTTTCTTTAACAAAGCAGATAGCCAGGGCCTTCTGTGGAAGAAGCTGAGAAAAGCATCTAAGGGGTCTAAAACTATAACAATCCAATTATTCAGTTTTAGCTTTGTTATATACAGAGGATAAAGGTTCAAGCTCTGCCCCAGTGCCATCCATAGCCATCCATTCCCAGTTTATTCCTCATGTTTCTTTTAAAATTCTCCTTTGGGGCTGGAGAGATGGCTCAGCAGTTAAGAGCACTGGCTGCTCTTGCAGAGGACCTGGGTTCAGTTCCCAGCATCCACATGGTGGTTAACAACCATCTGTGACTCCAGTTCCAGGGGGATCCGATGCCCTCTTCTGACCTCTGCAGGCATTGCACAACATGGTGTACTTACATACGTGCAGGCATAACACTCATACACACAAAATAAAAATACAGTATAAAGTTCTCCTTTAAAGAGCCCTGAGGAGTTGTTATAATCATCTCCCCCTGTATTACTACATCTAGTCGGCAGTAAGGCTTGCTGCCAACCTGGTTGAAGATATTTTAGGCAGGATGTCCATTCTGCTCCTTTGAATACAAATTCGTTCACCTCACTCCAGTTCTACCTTGGAAAAGAAAGTGTAGATCATTCTCTACCAGAAAAGAAGTTTCTTATCTTTCCTAAGAATGTCCAAGAGCCATTTATGGAATGGTGTGACAACTATCTTTAAAACTGTTTAACCCTTACTACTCTACCACTGCTCTAAGAACTTTTTAGATGGACCAATCACAATTTTGTAATGATATTAGATATTAATGTCCCCATTGTACAGATGAGGAGAACAGATATGAAATAATCTGTTTATGCTATAGGATATGTAGTTTTGAAGTGAGAGCAAGGAGTTCTAAGGAGAAGGGATGATAGAGGATTGCAATGTGTATTGAAAATACCGGCATGAGACATTCAGGCAGGACCCTCTCAGTTAGCAGGGTTCTAAGAGCTCTGCTGGCCACAATAGAAGGATGTGGGTATAACAGTGTAGGTCAATGATGCAACAAGCTAGTGGCACATTTTCTCTGATGATACTCATCTGTGGCCTCATTGAGACTTCATAAAAAATATGAAGGTTAAGTGTGGTGGCTCCCACCTGTAATCCCAGAGCTGGAGGGTCTGAGGTTGAAGGATTACTGTGAGTTCAAGATCAGCCTGGACTACAAGGTGAGTTTCTAGATAGCCTGGGCTATAGCGTGAGAGCTGTCTAAAAACAAAGAAACAAAGAAACAAAAACAAAGGCAAAATTGAAGTGAGGAAGCAGTGGGTCAAACCATTTCACCCTACGCAGTGGCATAAGGTGCTGAGCAAGCAGACAGAAAAATCACCCACTACAAACAGAAAACAGTCTCAGATCATTAGCAGGTACAAACAGAACTTCAATTTCAGTGGCCCCTGAGATAATACTGTATTAGATCACATTTAATTTTATTATTTTTATTTTATGCGTATGAGTATATTGCCTGCATATAGGTAAGTGCACCTGTGTTGTGCAATGCCTGTAGAGGTCAGAAGAGGCTGTCGGATCCCCTGGGACTGGAGTTATGGATAGTTGTTAGCTGCCATGTGGGTGCTAGGATTTGAACCTGGGTCTTCTATAAGAACAACCAGTGTTCTTAACTGCTGAGCCATGTCTCCAGCCCCTAGATCACATTTAAAAGGGTTATTTAGCATTTCCCACACTTCCTTACACTGGCCATTTCTGCTCTTCTACCACCATTATGGACCTCCTGATTTGGGAACTTTTCCAGACCTGTCTTCATACATCTCTCAAGTCTCAGCAGAGAAGATTCCTTATAAAGCAGATGGTGATTAACACAGAGAATCACAACTGGCCAACATGCAGAGAACAAGAGGCTGCAGAGTGCTTATCCCTGAATAGGACACCTGTATCAAACTTCTGCCTCCCAAGGCTCAGGGATCATTGTAGAAGAGGGGACAGAAAGATTGTAAAAGCCAGAGGTGGTGGATGACCACAAGGAAACAGTTTTCCAGACAGCTGGTCAGTTACTCGTATGAACTCACAGCAATGGTGACAGCATGCACAAGTCCCACATAAGTTCAAGCTAGAAAAAATCCCAGCATAGACTTGGGGAAGTGGGTAAGAAACTCAACCCTACCTGATGAACTACTGGAAATCGAAGGCTGCTGGTAAAGGGAGATTCAGTCTCATTAAAGAGTGAGACTCTTAGCAGGTTGACCAGGCTCCAGTGGATGAACCCACACTGAAGAGCATTTGGGGACACAAGACAGAAACCCTGACTCTCTCTCTCTCTCTCTCTCTCTCTCTCTCTCTCTCTCTCTCCACACATACACACACACACACACACACACACACGCTTTTTGAGACAGGGTCTCCCTGTAGCCACAGCTAGCCTGGATTCACTATGGAGACCAGGCTGGCCTTGAACTCACAGAGATCCACCTACCTCTGCTGCCTCCCAAGTGCTGGGACTAAAGGTGTGCATCACTACACCTGGCTGACTCAATAGATATTTATACACACACACACACACACACACACACACACACAATCACATCAGAGTACAGAAATTTGGTGGGAGTCTAGAAAGGGGGGTACAGATGAAGGACAAGATCTAAATATGATCAAAATATATTATATGAAATTTACAAAAATAAAAAGGACTGTTTATAACCTATCGGATGTCTCGTGTTCAGATTGTTTTTAATTTCTGTGATTTGTGAGACAAGGGAATGTGCAACACAATTAAAACCCTATTCTTAAATGGTAAAGACAAAAAGTAGGAGGATTTAATTTTAGATGTTTGTATGTTTCAACTGTTCTTTGTGCAGGAGTGAATGTGTCAGAGGTATTCATGATACCTACTTCGCTGAGTAAAGCACCCCCGCCCCACCACCATCTAAAACCACGTAGACAGTGATGAGGTAGACGGATGACATGTCTGGTTTAGCAGCATCATAGTAAATAGTCAAACAATTTATATGGTATTGCACTTATTCTGAAGGTATACTTCTTCCTATTTCTTTTTATACTATTTGACTTTTTCTCACTGCAGAAACATCTAAGCTCAGATTTTCTAATCAGATATATTCCAAAAGATACCGCCAAAAATTCCAAAAATATCAATTATGGCATCCAGACCCCAGCATGGGCCTGCAGTCTATTTTTTAAAGCTAAGCAGGGAATTTTAGATTATGTTTAGAACTTATGGATAAGGAAAAATCATCACTGCTGTAATGTTAGGTGGATGTTTAGTTGAGCTGGAACCAAGAGAGTTCATTGCAGTTAAAAACCAGCACAAGTAATTTCAGGGCATGTTACTAACATATCAAACCAATATGTTGACTTAGTCTGGGTGTCAGTCACAGGTTCATGGTTTACCTTACTGCTTTGAATGGTGGTAGCCACAATATAAAACATTTCTTGTACTGGTCTCATTGTTGGGGAAGAGAGTGAACACAGTGTAGGGAATAAATACAAGGATAGGAGAAAATCAGCCTTGGAGAGGACACCAGGATGTGGAGCTGTAGCTTGGAGCCCTGTGGAGCCCTGTGTGGGCTTTCTGTAGTGGATGCCCCTGCAGGGTAGCCTGTTTAGGAAGTGCTTGTAAAGTAGGCACCTTGTCATTTGTGCTATACCGTATATGGAAAATAGTTTATCAAGAGTACACATGTAGCCATTACCCTGGAAGACCTGTCAAAGTCCAAGTGTCAGTTAGTGTACTTCTTAGGAACCCTGGAATGCTGTCTCAGCAATGCCTTGGAAATTATCATGAAGGGAGAAGAACAGTAAAATGTAGCCCAGTTCTCCACTGTACTACAAGCTTTTCTGACAAAAAGAAAGAAGGACTTTAAGTCCTTTAAGTCATAAAAACATCAATTTCTCATCAGAGGAGGACTTAGAATACATAAACTTTCCTAAAGAGCCTGCTCAAAATCTTCGTATTTGGGGGCATCTCAGTTATAAGAAATAATTCCCCCATCCTCATTTCCAAAATTAATGCTAAACTACCTATCAGAAATATCTTTTTATGGAGCTGGAGAGATGGGTCAGTGGTTAAGAGCACTGGCTGCTCTTGCAGAGGACCTGGATTTGATTCCCAGCACCCACATAGTGGCTAACAACTGTCCGTAACTCCAGTTCCAGGAAATCCAAAGCCCTCTTCTGATCTCTATAGACAATGTACAACATGGGTGCATCTACCTACATGCAGGCAATACACTTAGATACATAAAAATAATAAAATATCTTTAAAAAGAAACATCTTTTTACATTAAGTTTAGAACTTTATCTTATGATTATTTTACTGTTAAATTTATTCATCTTCAAAGATGAACTTTTTGAAAAGATTTAGTAATGACACTTAAGTCTATCCTACATTTAGATAGCAAAACTTCAAATGACACTAATAGAGTATATTTTAAAAAATCAGAGCAGGAGTTATATTCTTACTTATTTGATGCCCCAATTTATAGTCTCAAATACAAGATCTCTTATCTCAAAAAAGCTAGTTATGAGACTGTTGCAGCTCTATGCTACACTGAGTATAATGGAAATCTGAGCATGTGTCTATTAATGTCCATTAAATAAAGTTAGAACTTGGAGGAACATTAGAAGCCTGACTTCATAGAATCAATTGGATTAAGTGCAGGGTCACTGGCAGCAGCTATTTTCTTGACAAATAGCGTCTGCTATTGTGAATAAT